CGATGTTCAACGTATGACAAATAATATCCAGGCTAATCCTGACCATATCTGTATGCGACCATGCGAACACATTGATATTTTCTCTGAGGAAGCTGGTCAGTTCAGTGGCGAGTTGGGGGTTGAGATTGCTCCCAATCCTTAGCACTCTGCTCGGCTCGCTCTGGTCGACCGATACCTCGGACAGATCCTCAACTGGCTCACTAGAAGGGCATTCCTGAACACGAGGGTCCATATTATCTACGACTGGACCAAGTTGTGGCTCGATCCGGCTGATCGCTATTGCCTGTCGGGGAATGCTGCGTGAGATGCCTTTCCCTTTGCACGCCATCTGCATTGCTTTCACATAACAGTTGCGAGATAAGCACTAAGATCCGCTGACTTCCCCTATCCTCGTCGAGGTGGGGAACTTCATCTTCAAATGGTATATCGAAGTGACAGCCTTGAAGTTTCTCAGCAAAGGTCATCCCAGGATACAATTAAAAGCGGATGGGCAATCCACTACCAAGAATTCAGTTACCTTGGTCAATTCGTCAAAGTCACCCAGCATGACTGGGAGCAAGATCGTTCCTTTAGGGATCAGGTGGTCCCTGGTAAAACCGTATAGGGGGATTGAGGCGAGCTTCAGGTTGGCCTCATCCAAGTTCATTCTTTCGAAAGCTGTCTGGAACAGGATGTTCATAGCACTTCTGTTATCCACCAAGATTCTGTGGACGTTATGGCACCCTATCAGAGGTGTGATCACAAGAATGTCATCGTGGGGATGATGCAATCGAACTGCATCCTTTTCGGAGAATGTAATTTCCTCCTCCCTGCGAACCTTTTGTGGTTGTCGCGTCGTGCTCATCACATTGATAGGATTGTGATGGGCTGCTCAAGCATATCTTTCCTGGGCACCTTTCGAGTTCTCCACGAGGTATGGTCCCCCAAAGATCAAATTGACGCTGCATATACCTTTGCGATCACGACGCTTCTTTCTTGGTTCCCCTTGGTTTTTCTCCTGTGCGGGGGTAGAGTCGTCAATATATTCCTTGAAATACCCCTGCTTGATGAGGTCTTCGATTGCCTGTTTGATAGCTCGGCACTCATCGGTGTGATGCCTATTATCCCGATGAAAGCGACATTATTTTTTACTGTTTCTGGCTGATGGTAGATTTTTCATAGGCTCAGGCACTCCGAGTAGGCTGGCCACTTTCAACTTGTCAAGAATAGCCAATACGAACGAATTTAGAGGCGTATACTGATTTCTGTCATGATCGCGACGAGGAACTGGAGCATAAGACTTCTTGGGCTCATAACGCGGTTTCTTTCCTTTTTGTTGATCGTCAGTAGCCCACCTGCGATCAATTCTCCTACTTTCCCCCCAACTAAATGCACTACCCACGGAATTTTCAATACGGAGGTACTTCTCCGCAAGGTTATAGAAGCGGGTGAGGGAAACATCATCCTCAGCCTATAACTCTTTCCACAGGTTGGTCTATGGGCGAACTCCTGCTATGATGAGAGTCCGAACAGACTCTTGGGAGTGTGAGCTACATTATTAAGTTTTCTGTAGAATCGGTCGATGTAAGACTAGAGGGATTTATCTTTCTCTTGCCTTATATTGCTGAGGTAGCTCAAATGCATTGAGAACTTTCGGTTTGCTTGGAAGTGCCTCAGGAACATCGCGCTCATTTGAGGCCACAAGTTGATCGATCCGGCTGGGAGCGACCTAAACCATCGTTTGGCATGAGAGGTTAGAGTTACTACCAAACAATGACATTTTGCCAAATCTGAAACCTGGTGAAACTCTATTAGGTAATTGAATTCATACAAGTGATCCTGCGGATTTCTAAATCTTGATGGGAGTAGGGCAGCTAACACTGCCGGAGAAAAGGGGGACACTGACGCGACATGTCCCTGCTCGTTTTACTGAGCTCTCAGCTAGTCTAGAGCTCGTTGCAGCTCCTCAATCTGAGGTAGCGGAGCTATCTGGTGATTGCTTTCCCCTATGCGAGTTCGACCCTCGCAGTTGCGGTTGAGGAAAGTCCAGAGGTCGGATTCCACTTCGCCTCGACCTGCAGTTTTGGCCGCTCTCGACACACGCTGGCTAAAGCCGGATGATGGCGATGAATGATGTGGGAAATTTTCACGACCTCCGCGGTGGTAAGAACCGCCCCGCGGAGTGTGGGAACCTCCCGCACGACTATGATCAAGATTGCTTCTCTGGCGGTGATGAGAATCGCCCCGCCCAGCACTTTTGTGGGGGTTTCCATGCAATGTGGCATGGGACGGCTCGGGCTGTGACTTTTCACCTAGTCTTAACGCCACGAGTATTCTACTCGGGATGTGGTCAGTGCTCGCCGACCCTTTGGAGCCCTTAGGCCAATTTTTTGCCACTTGCTTACCCTTTCTTCGGTGCGCTGCAGTGCTCGCGACATGGGTTATCGCCTTTTGCCGCGTTTTCGAGCGACCTGCAGGCATTTTTTGCGATTGCATCGCCTGATTTGATTCGGGTGGCACGCCCCAGTCCAAATGGTCCAACCTTCGGTTGACCGTCTAGAGAGTATTGTCGAACCTCTCTAAGTAGCTTCTGATGGTAGGGTCAAGTAGTGAACTTGATGAGATATCTCCTGTGACATTTTGCAGAACCGAAGGTACCACGGGAGAGGTGTCCTCCTGTACTTGAGGGATATCCTCAGCACTGTGGTTGGTTCGCTCAGGTTCAAGTCGGTGGGCCATTTGCTGTTGTAGAACCAGTAAGTTAGAGATTCTCCCGATGAAGGACGAATACTAAATCAGGCCCTCCTTCTAGTGTCAATCTGTTGATGAGTGATTTTGACACCAACCAAACGCATGTGTGAAATACTGAGTTGGCCCAGAAGACACACGTGGATGAAAGAGTGAGAGTAAAAACAATGGAGAACTACGTTTAAAGTGGTTCAGATGCTAAGGAAGCAAGTCTTCCGTCCACTGATTTTGTATTAATGATAGTGGTTAGGTCGCGTTCAGCGGACTGACTTACAAATGATTATACAAGAGAGAGAATGCTATTTTTTCTTTAGAGATATTAGCTAATCCCTTAAATGAGAGAGGAGCTCTCAATTTATAGTGGGATGGATTAAGGTTATAATTACTAAATCTGTGAGTTGATGGGATTATCCGTGCAAATCCTTCTTTATGTCTCATTGCCCACCTTTTAGAGCGATTTACGCAATTTGGTGCATTAATTAGACACGTGGCATCACTCCAGCTCCTGGCTGGTCTGACGCGCACCCACTACCCTGACAGGAGCATGCTGCCCCTGTCATTGTGTGATGTGGCTGCCTCTATCTGGCTGTGGACATACCTAAGATCTAACTTTTTATGCTGACTATGTCTTGCGTCAGCCCTACTTTTTTAGGCATAACAAGTATAGGTATTATACTTACTTTATGATATTAAGAAAATTAAACAAGAATTACACCAATGCCTCATAACAATTACTTCCAGTAAGGTATTCGTCTCCCCGAATCCATCATTGAAATTATTTCAATAACTTTAAATATTATGAGGGTTTGTCATTGCGAGAGAGAGAGAGAGAGAGAGAGAGAGAGAGAGAGCGCAAAAGTTTTTCTCCTCTCTTGCAATATATTTTTTATAATTATAAGTCCAAATTCAGATATATAAACGGAGAACCTAAAAAATTTAGATATATCAAATTATTAATTTATTAAAGAAGTATTAAAACAGTAACATAATATTAAGAGGGAGAACCAATTAAATTTTTTTTTTGGGTATCCAGGGGTGTCCGACTAGTTTGCGTGCACCTCAATTAATTCTCCAAGATTTAATGTTATCAAATAGTAACATAATATTAAAAGGGAGAACCAATTTTATTTATTTATTTATTTATTTTTGGTATCTGATGGTGTTCGGGCCAACTTGCGCGCATCTCAACTAGGCCCCCGACACCCTGAAGTAGCTACCTATTATTAGCCTTGTTTTAAAACTCGACCCGTTGGGAGACCCGGTAAGGTGATCGGGTCACGAGTTGACCGGTTCAACCGGTTGGGCCGATGACATCAGAAATAATTTTTTTTAAATTGTAATTAATCCCTTAAATTTTTGTATATTACAAAAATACCCTAAAATTTTTATTAGTCCCTAAAATTTTTATTTATTTCAAAAATACCCCCAAAAATTACTAATTAATCCCTAAATTTTTGACATACCTCCAAAACACCCCTAGAAAATTACAAATTAGTTTCCATAAATTTGAAATATTACAAAAACCCCCTAAAACCTGAACCAGACCAGAGAAGTTGTTGGGTCCCGGTTGGATTGGTCCGACTGACCAGTCCGGTCCGATTCGGATTTTAAAACAGTGATTATTAGTAGTCATGGAGATTCGAACTCAGGACCTCTTGAGTAATACATCTGAGAGTCATAAACAAACCGTCAAAATTATGGATGAAAAACAAGTCGAGTAGTTCGCGAGCTACTTGAGCTTGGCTTGTGAAAAGCTCGAGCTCGACTCGATTGACTTCGAGTCAAGCTTGAGCTTGAGTGGCTCGTTTAAGGAGTCGAGCTGAGTTCGATTAGGGTGAAGCTCGGCTCGATAGGCTAGCGAGCCTCATTGTGCTCGGAGGGTCAAATTGTGCTCAGAGGGTCAAATTGTAAGTTTTGTAATTTTTTTTTATTTTCAAGTTTTTTAAAATGACAAACAACCCCTTCTTACAATAAACTCGAAGCTCGAACTCGTTTGAGCTCGAGTATCCACCCATACTCGTGAGCTCGAGTCCAAGTATTCAAGCTCGGCTCGAACTCGAGCTTGACACTGTTCATCATGAACCAAGCTCGAGTATCCAAATACTCGGCTCGGCTTGGCTCGGCTCGTATACACCCCTAGTCAAGATACTAGAGGTAGTTGGATCCAATTTAATGTCATCAAACAGTAACAAAATATCTCGTGTAAAATAAATAGTAAAAGGAAAATAAAAGAAAAAGAGAAAAATAATTACAAATTTTATATTCAATTGGGCATGAACACAAAAGAATTATTTTTGTTTTTTATTTTATTACATATACTGCCACATACTTTTTTGTCTACTCTTTTATTCAGTGGGCTGCCCACTGGGTAGTAGTAACAGTAGACTCTTCTCTGTTCATCTACATTACATCACACAAAATTATTCCCCTTCTCACCAACCAACAATTGACACCTCACCATCATAATATTCATCTTCATATTACACACAAATTAATAATAAAAAATAAAAATACAAAAAACTTGTTCCTTTTTAGGTAACTTTAACTAATTTAGCCAACCTTTCCTTCCAATGCAAGGATTGGAATTGGAAATTTAACAGCACATCTTTACCAATTGCTTCTCTTTCAAATTTTCCCCTTTCCCCTTTCTTCAGTTTTTGACTGACTGCCAACCTTCCATGAGAAATTTTATACCCTATTGTAGAAGAAAAGCAAGTCACAATCTCATACCGAAGAACTTTTTACGTTGTTTTCACCACCTGCATTCAGTTCATTTTAAGCCTTGGTCAGTGAAAAAAAAGAAAACCATGAATCTTGCTCATACATTCAACAATCGTAGATGGATTTAATGATAATTCTAAGATTATATAAAAGCAAGTGTGTTAATATTAAACGATCTCACACAGAAGTAAATGAAATAAACTCATCGTAGATTTGTAACTTTAAACAATAAACTATTAGTATTGTTACAGAATCGTGATTTTAGGTGAATTTGGAAAAGAGGGTAGCTCTAAATTCTTGGTAAAAAGGGAAACTTTATGACTTCTAAACAAAGTTAAAAATATAAAAAATATGTTAAGGTTTCTTCTTCTACCTAACAGTATTGCTTCATTCAAGTAACCTAACCTGTTAAGGAGAGAGTTAATGGAGTTGTTATTTGATTAATATATGAAGCATGTGATTAAGAAATTAATGTTCTGTGGTTGACCTCTGAAAAACAGTATGCCTAAAATGTGAAATGGCCAGGACGTGTGAATATAAGAAGATCTTATGGTAGCAAAACAGTCAATTAACAACATTATTAAAAGGCTAAACGTCAGAGATATATATCAGTATATCACTAATCACATCAACTCTTAGCGGTTAATCAAGTTGTCACAACTTTATACAGTTACTCAATCCTGAAGCAACCTATGAATCATAAATGAGAATGGGAATTTTACCTTTTTCCAAGTTTGAAGTTTTCCTTTGGATGTGAAGAGTGATGGGTTGAGTTCACTGGCATGTGGTGAAACGGGAATCTTGTCCAATGGCACCAAGCATCTGGCATGCTACTTCAAGCAATTTTCCTGCCGAACATTAATACCAAATATAATATTAATCAATCAATCAATCCACAGTCCTTTTCATTGAATAATATCAAAACTAAATCAGCTTCAGAAAGCTACTGGTGAACTTCCATTGGTTTGATGAATGAAAGCCACTCTTTAACAACAGAAAATCACAATTCAACAGCCAAAATATATTAAATTTCCATGGTATTGACAGGAAATACCAACAATAATATAATGGTTTCCAATATGTGTTTATTTGAATATAAAATTTAGAATAAGAACAAAATTAATCATGGGGGAGTGGGGAATATAATTGATTAATGGATATCCAAGCTGTCTGATTTTGGTTAAGGAGTAGGAGCCCCAAAAAAAAAACCTTTTATTCCGTATCCTCTTATTTTTCTTCTTGTCCTGACCAATTTATGTGAGCTAATTTATTTCCCAACAACAAAAATAATTTGGCCCCTCACCGACACTTCCTTCAGCATTCAGCTAGCTGCCCATTTCATTCTGTACCCAGTTTTTGACTTGCCTTGGCCGACACTTTCCTATATTCAATTTTACAACTCACACCAACCCTTTTGTCAACTAAAAAAATTAAAAAAAGAAAGTTGGGGTTTTGAAGTACCATCCTAAGAGATTTCACAGCGGAAAACACCAAAGATTAATACCTAAGAATATAAAATCACTTAAAGAGACACATTTAAGTGGGTTGTGCATTGTAGGATTTATTAAAGTCTCCATTAGAGTTTGATTAGCCCCTAAGGATAGTTAAAAAAAATCAAATTAATGGGATTTTTTCTTTTTTGTCTTTTGGAAAAGTCTTGACCCCCACCAGGATTTTAGAGCATGAATTATATATGTATAATTGAATTAATTTCTATAAAAGATGATATCCAAAACTTTTAGCTCAAGGCAGAAACAGCTTTAGCTTTTGGATTTTTTAGATTATAATTGGAGAAGGAAAAGCATCCAAAGCCACTGCCCGATAATTGATTTCATTTTCATTTATTTCTTTTTTGCCTAACAAATTAATTGAATCCTCCTTTCACGGACACACACAAACCCTACACATATTTTCTTAAATTACCCTTTTGCCCTCTAACCCACCGACACTACTCTTCTCTTTCAAGTTTCACCCACTGTCCTACACTATCCCCCGCCATTTCTACATTTCCGATATATCGCCCCGGTATTTCCTTTTCTAACTATGAAATTAACCGAAAATTAACTAATTAATTGACTAATTAAAAACTGATAATTGAGAGAGATTGTTAGGAATTACCTCTTCTCGGTTTTACTGCGACTTTAATGCTTTTTTTACTTTCCGATTTCGTAGTCGTCGTCTCCTCCACCGGGAACAAAACCCCATCAACTCCCTGAACCGAAATTCGGCCATCGGTGTATATATCGGGGTCAAACAAGTAGGCCGATCCATCACCTTGACCGAATTTCACAGACCCATCAGCCTCCTGTGCCAAGACTTTGTGCGGCAAACGCAACGTATCGTATGATATTTTCCCAAATCTTCTTACCGCATTGTACATACTCTCCTCAGTCTGATATTCCGGAATTATGTGGTAATAAATAATCTGTTCCGGTGCACCCGGTTCGCTCAGCTGGTCCGTCGTGAGCTTAGCCATGGCCTCGTCATTGGGCGCCAAAACGGTTAAAACGTATCCCTCCGATACGAGCCGGCCCATTTCGGTCGCCAGCGATGTGAGATTTACTAAAATATCGGCCATTTCGTTGTATCCTCCGTAATGTAACAGTGTCTGAATGAAATCCTTCACTTGCTTCTCCCCGTTGAAATGGTGGTGGGGCCCGCCAGGACCTGGGGCTGGAGCCGGAGCTAGTGACGGACCGGGCGCCATCGCGTCATAAATGGGAAGGACGGGAGGCGAACCGGGTTTTACCGGTGGTGCCGGTTTTTTTAATCGGTGCGTTCTTGGGTCGATCTCGGGGGCTCCTTCCGGTTTAACAGCTGAGATTGAACGGAGACTCCGCCGGTTGTTGAAATCTTGCTGTACGGATCGAGGGATTAGCAGCCGTTCGATGCCGTGGATCACACCATCCGGGCGGTGTACGGCATTCGGGTGGATAACTTTAGCTTGGTTAATAAACTTGTCACCCGAATCTTGACCCGTTAACTCGACCGAGTCACTCGAAAGCGTGTGGTGCCGAGTTGGCTCAGTACCTTTCGTCTTCGTCTTCATCGTCGTGACTTCAATTCTTTTGGGAACAATGTGGTGGAGCAAAAGAGTCTGTAAAGACTTCAAATTCCCCGGTTCAAGCAAGAAACGCTTGAACTCGGGATCGAGATCGCGCTCAAGAGCTTCATTTTTGGGAGCGAAAATTGTGATATTATGTTTCCCAACAGCCTCTTCAAGAGTCTGTAACAGAAGCGCCTTCTCCACGAGCTCAACGAGCTCGGTGTAATGCGAGTCGAGAAGCGCGACGAGGACTGAATTAGAGTTGATTTGGGTAGAATGAGTCGAAGTTGTAGTGGTTTGCTGTTGCAATGTAGCAGAGAATTGAAGAAGAAGGAGAACAAGCGGGAAGAGAAAATTAAAGAACGCCATTGAAAGAAAGAATAAGAAGGAAGATTGGTATTTAACAAAACGGGAGGCGTTTTGGGTGGCTTAAAAGGCCAGTTAAGTCATGGATGTTGAGTGGTGAAGAGAGTTATAAAAGGCAGGGAGGAGTTGTTAGAGGGGGAGAAGGTGAGAGGAAGAGGAGTGAAGAACATGGTTTGGCTTTTGGTATCGGTGCGGTGAAAATAGCGTCGGTTGAGGGGTGAAATTGAAAGAAAATAAAAGTTAAGGTGAACCTTCAGTTTCCATCTATTGTAAGTCAAAACCGTTAACCAAAATAAAAATAACAAAAATACCCCCAAACAATAATATTATGATTTTATTTATATAAAAATGTTTTAATCGGACGGTTTTTAAGTTGTATATATTTTGTAGAGGACTCAGGTTCCATATATCTGATGGTTAAAAGTTATGAATTTTGACATTACTATTGGAGTATTTGTGTCATTTCAATTTTAACTAACAGCATTTACAATGTTTGGTTAGTTTCCGGGGGAGTTTCTAATATTTGAAACGACATGATATAGATATTCCACACTAAAACTGTAGGGGGGGAAATGTAATTAATTGGTAAAGGAACACGTGGGATTGGGACAACAATATTATTGTAGTATTTGCACTTTGCCGGCAATTGAAGCCTTGACAGGAAATGGAAAGTTGTGAGGGATGTCACGTTGGCCAAACATTATCAAATACGTATTAAATATTAGGTATCATGTAATTATTGTAGCCTACATAATATTTTGTTTGATCACTATGTTTTTTCTTCTATTATTTGATTATACTATATTTTACCTAATTAATATTCCAATTTTATATTATAAATTATTGTCACCTACATAAGTGAGCAGAAACAGAAGATGATTTTTAAAGAAGTTCGATTGGTGATTCTCAAGCTTACGTTCTCTGATATGTTTTATCTTTGGGTGTATCTATTATAGATTACAAAGTATGTTTACATGAATGAGAAAAATAGTGAGATAGCATACTTCGTAATATGTAATCAAAAGGGAAAGATACACCCAAAGAAATAACATATAAGAGGATGTAGATAGGGAATCCTCCCCCCGTTAAAAATTATCTTATGTTTCTACCCAATTACGACATGTTCATCTCTTATTTTCGATCTATTCTTTTCACATTGCTAGTTGATTGTAACCACGCATCCATTGATCCCACTAAGGTTGATCGAGTCTCGTTGATTGTTGTAAATTTTCGTAATAACAATCTTGTTATATCGAAATGAATATTTGCATATAATATATCTATTAGAGAATTATGGGTAGCTTAGATATAAAAATTCTTAGAGTAAATGTAAGTTGTAATAAAACATTATTTTTATAATATAAATGATATTCACATGCCATTAATACTATTTGGAATAAGACAAATACTGTTGACCATTGACTTGCTTTCATTGAGTGATTAGAGAGTTATTGGTATTAAATGATGTATTTGTCAATTTTCAGCTAACCAAGCCACTTATTTAAGACTTGTGAGTATTAATTGTTTATTTATTAATTTAGGTAAAAAAAAAAAAAAAAAATTAACTTCTAGTCATTAAAACTAGCTGCGCACCAAATTTGGTTTGGTTTAGAGCATCTTAAAAACACACTTTATATGACTCAAACTCTTTATTATAAAGAATTTATCCATAAAAATAAGAGTCTAATTAACTCTTTATTCTTTAAATATAAATTAAAAAGTGAGTTTAACTCTCCATATTTAGGAAGTTAAATTTCATTCTTTATCCTAATTTTAATTAATAAATTACAAGTTTCTATGTATTTTATTTATTAGTTATCTCTTCGTCTTTTTCTTGAAAATAGAGAACATCTTCATTAAATTTAAAGAGTCTATTAGATTTGAATACAAATTTAGTTCTTTATATTTATAAATTAATAAAAATGCTCTTTATTTATATGAAATGTGCTCTTTAAAATAAAGAAGAGATACTCTTAATAAAAGATTAGATGAGGAAGACTATGTGTTATAGTATTTTTAAGATTAATATTTAATATTTTAAAAACAAATTAATCATTTAATTAAATTAAATTTTTATTTTCAACTTAATATATATGCATCGAACCTAGCTCTGTTCATTTAATTTTACCTTATCTTTGAAGGATCTAAAAACACGACTATTTCATTATTTGACAAATAGGATTCAGTCATATAAAACATAGAATTTAAGATTTTCATCCAAACATCAAAGTCTAATAAATAAATAAATAAATGAGCAATGCTAGTTTTACAAAGACACATATAAAGGGGACATACAAAGACAATCACCACCTTTGATTTTCATGATTTATCTTTCTTTATTTTTTCCGTTTTTTCTTTGTTTTTTTTCTTTTTGATGATGTCACTTTGTAGCCCTCTTTGTATGAGTCTTTGTAAAGATAACATTTTTCTAAATAAATATGCCGTTACCAGTTATCTAAAAAAGATTAAAAATAAAAATAAAAACTCCCTGATTTTAACACAATTGTCGCTCTATTCTATGTTGGTACACTCATTGGTTCAATCCAAGTTTTTTAATCAATATAATTTTTTCCTTGTTTTTAGATTAGTTGTAAAATTAAGAAAAAATAGATAAACAGTGAATGGGTACCCATTTGGGTCTATTAACTTATGTCAAGTTGTTTTGTTTGAGTGTGTGTTTTTGGTTTTGTTTCATATTTGTTTTCTTTATTTTAGGTACAAACACAAACAGGAACAGCCAGCTAGCTGACCCCCCCTCCCTTCACATAAATTTTGGAAGAAGAAGAAATAAATAAATTGAGTTTCCCTCTACTTCATATCCCTTCCCTCCATTCCAATTCTTTGAATACAAACCAAACGTAGAAAAGAGCCATTTTTACACTTTTGAGCTTTCCAAAGGCCTATGGGAAATGTCTTGATTTTTGTGGTAAAAAGGCAATAGTAAATTCTATAATGCAAACTACCAAGATACTAATTTACTACTATCAATGTCGTTTTATTATGTTGTGAGGAATTGAGCTTTACAGGAGCCAGTGGGGTTGATAAAGTTAATTACCCACTAAACTTCAAAATAAATATATATACAGTATTTATATTTGTCTAAATAAAGTGCATGAAAGTTTCGTGTTGTTAGTTGTCCTAAAGATATCTTATTCAAACAAAAGGCCACCTTCTATGGACAGTTTTAGAAGAATGACCGAGATAAAATTTGGAGACTCGTGTCAAATGGGCAATGGGCCTAGGTTTATGAAAAGTTGACATGTGTCTACATCTAATGATCATTTTAGTTAGGGTTAATGGGCCAAATAATAGCCGAAAAGTCCATCTAATGGGAAACCCACAAGGTGTTGACAAGTGGCCTGACACTTGTCATTCCCAGAGCTATACGTATTCTCCTACTTCCAAAGATTATTTTCACTAATCAATAATTCAAAGGTTAACATTGACCTCCATCACCTATAATTCCAACTTAAACATGATCAACAGCAAGCATTTTTAAGGCGTTTATGCTCCAAAAAAATGCAGTATGTATGCTCACGCAATGATATTTTATTTGGGATATCAAATTTAGAATGAGTAGTATTACTCTTTTGTTTAAGTATTTTATTTAGATATTGAAAGAGTTATTGATGTTGTCGATGTTAACAAATTTATTTTCTTTCAGTTTTGTAGGTTTTGCATAAATCTCATAATTTAGACTAATTTGTTTCAAGCAATAAATTTGCCATGGTGTTTTTTTTACACAAGCAAATGATTTATCATTTACCTTTATTTTACTCCTTTTATAGTCTCTTGGAATATTAGAAGAAAAATATTTAAAAAAAGTACTATATGATCACATTTTCTTCACTTTTACCCACTTGAATCTCTTATTTAGGACTCTCAAAAGTCTGGTGTAATAGAAAAGAGTGATGTTCTAGGTTTGAGTAAAAAAAATTATTTTCTTTGGTGCGGGGTAACTTTTTCCCATTTTTAAATTCACTCAACCTAATCTAATTATTTGATACTTCATCGATAACCAGAATAAATGTTTGATTATGTGAATATTTTTCAATTCATATTCATTCCATAAACCAATTATGGTTAAATCAAATTTTAACCAATATTATTAATACCAAAATCCAATTTAAATATTAAAAAATATTATTATTATTATTACTATAATAAATTTGTGCCTGATTTAATCAAAATATATATCTTTCTTTTATCTACACTATTTGGTTTTCCGAAAAATTCATAATCAAATAAATAATTTTACATAATTTTGTGATATTTTTTAAGTGATATGATAATATGAAAATCCAGGTTTTTCACATTTTATTATGGAAAAAGTGTTTTTCACATTTTACATGAAATAAAAAACGTGAGCCTAGTAAAATACAGTATAATATATATTTATTCGGATTAACCCGAATATTTAATACGGGTCTACCATATTCTATCTCCAATAAAACTATCCACAACTTGCAGTTTCACCCCACAACAACTGACTGCTAATCATGGCGGCACTTCTCCCATGCACACATTTTTCATCGGCCAAATTTACATTTTTACCCTCGAGTTCCTCCGCAATTATTATCCCTGCCCTCCGCCCTCTCCGTCCCCGCTTAAACCACCGTTGTCGTCTATCTCTCAACTCCATCAGAGCCTCCGTCTCCACTGTCGATTCTCCGTTGGCTTCTTCTACCGACGGCCGGGATGAGAAGAAAAAGCCGCTTCTTCAAGTCACTGATTTAACTGCCGTCATCGCTGAATCCAGACAGGAAATTATTAAGGGAGTTAATCTCTTGGTCAACGAAGGAGAGGTGCGTAGTTTGTTTAATCCTCCGCCGTTGACATTAAATCATGTTTATGGCAATCTAACGGTTCTGGTTTTTTCAATAGATTCATGCTATAATGGGAAAGAACGGTTCCGGGAAGAGCACACTTTCAAAGGTTTAGTTTTTATTTATTTTTAATAAATCTTTTCCATTTTAATTGAGGTGAACTTCAATTTCAATGTCATTCATTTTGTTAAATTTAATTAGAAAAGGAGATTATCCATTAATTAAGTTGAAGATTTGTCATAAGTACGAGTGGAGGGTTTGAATTGCGAAATAGACAGTGACTGAGCTCCATAGAGCTGTTTACGAATTTAAGAGATGTTTATTTGTCTGAAGTTGTTTTGAAATTTGTAGGATTTATCTGTAATTTGCTACAAGTTAAGGTGGCTTATGGGATTTTAAGGAGGTTTATGTGTCTGGCGAATTTTGAAATTGATGAAATGTATATGTATTTTAGCAGTGGGTTTATGTGTCTTATGTTGAAATTAGTCTGTGTTTGTATGTACTGTAGCTATATGTTAAGAGATTAATGAAATTTATCCATGGAAGATGAAAATTTGTGAATGATGGCATGATTGGTGAAGGTCCTTGTCGGGCATCCGGATTATGAAGTGACAGGAGGTAGTGTCATTTTTAAAGGAGAAAATTTGCTTGAAATGGAGCCGGAAGAGCGCTCACTTGCTGGGCTGTTTATGAGTTTTCAGTCACCAGTTGAGATTCCAGGAGTCAACAATATTGACTTTCTGCAGATGGCTTACAATGCTAGAAGAAGACAACTTGGTGAACCGGAGCTTGGACCCATTGAGGTTAGTGGGCTAGTTGTGATTTCATTTATGTTTCTGTGCTTGCTGTTTCTTTGAAGCATCTTTACATATTGTTCATTTATCTATGATACTGTGTTGTGCTTGCAGTTCTATGCTTACATATATCCTAAACTGGAACTTGTGAACATGAAGACCGACTTCCTCAACAGAAATGTCAATGAAGGATTTAGTGGTGGTGAAAAGAAACGCAATGAAATTTTGCAGCTTGCGGTATGAATATGAACTCTGACCTTTCCGCCAATTTTTTTTTTTTGATATTAATTATTCAGTGAAAGCAAATCCATTGTGTTACTCACCATGGGTCATTGGGCTTGTGATCTCTGTTTATTGGTATTGAGATTTGGGAATTATTTGAAAATGGGAATTATTAAATGTGATTTTCCTTGGCCAGAAAGGGGTGGGTTGGGAAGGGTGGTTCAATTTACATAAGAATTTATTGTAATTCAAGAAATTTGAGACAGCATCACTGCAAAACGAGCAACCGGGTTGAATATGATTAGAATTTTCCTATTTCTGATATATGTATTTGTGCCTGTATATTACAGGTTTTGGGAGCGGACTTGGCTATATTAGATGAAATTGATTCTGGATTAGATGTTGATGCGCTTAGAGATGTAGCACAAGCCGTTAATGGGATTTTGACTTCAAAGAATTCTGTATTGATGATAACTCATTATAGACGGCTTTTGGAATTTATAAAACCAGCATTTATTCATATCATGGTGAGTCATTTGGAAAATCAGGAAGTGACTGTTTGGATTCGTGTTTGTGGTAGAAATTAGATTTTAGAATAACACTGAATGAGCTTCTTACTTTTATATTTTAGGATCTCGCATGGAATATCATGAATTGTTGTGGCTTTGTTATGACTTAGTTGAGTAATGGAACGGGTGTAGATTTACATCTTCAAATACCACAAAAATTGCAAAATGGAAGCATTCAATTCTTGGAGGTCAAAGTTTAAAATGTGGTCTTTCATATTTACTCATAGTGTCTATATTTTTTGATGTATTAGGGATTTTTTTGTGTAGTTGCACCCTTTTTGTTACTGTATTTAATATGTATGTTTTCGCTTGAGTGGGAGAGGGGAGGAAAATAGGGTTGTGAACTACATGGGCAATAGGTAGGTGGTAAAAGGTTTTTCATTGGATAGTAATATTTCTTTTTGTTTGCTTAATAACAACAATATTTCATTGTGGATATAGTTTGGGGTTTATGGTAGGGAACAAAGTTCAACTTGATGATGTAATCTGAACTAACACAGCTTTTAGGTCATGATTCTGCACTTAACAGCCACATTTAATTTAATGATTGATTCTGGACCAGTGGTTTATCTTTCAATAAATATGATTATTAAACAGAATATAATGCCTTCATCTATATGGTTCTCTAGTTGCCATCCTTCAATCAGCTTTTCATTTTCTTGATGGGGCTAGATCCTTTTGAAGCAATATACCTGATCTATAATAAAAAGTTCTCATTCTTGCTAAATGCCTACTCAAATTTTGTCTTTTGGTCATTTAGGATGATGGGAGAATTGTAAAGACAGGGGATGCATCCATAGCACAAATTCTCGAGGAGGGTGGCTATAAAGCAATCTCTGATGTGTAATTGTATGCCATTTATTGCTGGTATATTTCTCTCTTTCTCTCTAAAAAAAATTTGTTCTATTTTGGTGGAATTTGTATATTTTTTGAGTTCCATGCTTCTAAACTTTATAGCCTCTGTTTTTGTTGTTGGTTTAAGAACTTTTTTCTGGTCGAAGATAAACTGAGGTCACATTTTTAGTTTACTGCTCATTTTGAGAGATAATGGATTTCATGATGTTAATTTGACTTGGGAGATCTTGATATCCTGTCAGCTGTTCTCAAGCTGCCTGCCACCGTCCCTTTTTTTGTGATGGTTTCTGATGCAAACCTCAATCTCCAACATTTCACAACACAAATGAACCACAATCCAATGATCTCAAACACAGAATTCAGATAAAGAAACTGGACAATAAGTATTTGTATTAATTCACTCTCGGTGGTACAATATCAGTAATGCAAAAGAAACAAAATAAAGAACGTAATGACAGATAGAGTTGCTAACAATTCGAGGAGTTAGCGGCCTTCCTCAGGATTCCCTTTCAACAAAATATGTTCTCCCTTTTTGAGCAGACCTCCCCTATTTATATACACGTGAGATTTTCCCAAGGTAACCAACCCCACAAGACACTTGTACTTATTCCTAACTAATTCCCCTGGCCTCTGGTCACACTCTTCTCATGCCTTCGAGTCATGCTCTTCTCCCTTCTCCTCTGCCTCTGATAGCTTTTAGTAAGGGGTGGCCTATCAATACCCCCCCCCCCCCCCCCCCCCCCCCCTCTTTTGAAGTGCCACCTTGTGCTCAAGGTGGAATTGAGGGAATTGGTGGACAATAACCTCGAAAGGCTCCCAAGTGGCTTTGAAGGGTGGAAGGTCTTTCCATTGGATTAAGACCTCCCTGGTCCCATACAGTAAGGTGCGAGAAGAGAGCACTGTTTCGGGTTGCACAATCAGTTCTAAATCTTCAGTAAGAAAGAAAGGCAATGGTTGAGTAGGCACAACACTGTGTAGACTCTTCTTGAGTTGAGAAGTGTGGAAGACTGGGTGGATACGTGCCGTAGATGGCAATGCCAACTTGTAGGCCACTTGGCCAATCTTGGCTACCACTTCAAACGGGCCATAGAATCTTGGACTCAATTTCTCATTGATCTACCTAGCCAAGGACCGAAATTTGTAAGGCTGTAGCTTTAAGTAAACAAAATCCCCCACCTGAAATGAGATGTCTCGCCTGTGTGCATCAACAGCCTGTTTCATACTCCCTTGGGCAGCCGATAAATTGCTTTTAAGGTCATTCAGGATGACATTTCTTTCCATCAGTTGCCTGTTAACATCTTCCACTGGGGAAGGGCTGTCAAGTATACTTGAGAAGGATGGGTGGGTCACGACCATAGAGGGCTTTAAAAGGGGTCATCTTGGTGGAGCTGTGGTAGGTGGAGTTGTACCAGAATTTAGCCCAAGGCAGCCATTTCGACCACTGTCGCGGCTGTGAGCTACAAAAACACTGGAGATACGTTTCCACACATCGGTTCACAACTTCGGTCTGCCCATCCGTCTGCGGATGGTATGCGGAACTGAACTTAAGAGTGGTGCCTGCGGCCTTGAATAATTCCTGCCAAAACTGACTCATAAACATTCTGTCCCAATCTGAAAATATCGATTGTGGGAACCCATGTAGCTTGACGACCTCCTTCATAAAAATGTCAGCCACGTCCCTAGCATTAAAGGGATGGGACAGTAAGATAAAATGCCCATATTTGGTTAACCTATCTACGACCACCAGAATTGTGTCAAACCCTTTTGATCTCGGCAATCCTCCTATAAAGTCTATGGATATATCCTCAAAGATCTGGTTGGGAATAGGTAAGGGCTGGAGCAGACCGCCAGGTCTCAAGGAGGAATACTTATGTGTTTGGCAAACAGTACAAGCTTGAACATAATTCTGTACATCTCGTTTGATCCCTTCCCAATAAGCAATTCCTGCCACCTTATAGGTCCGAAAGAACCCGGAATGACCGCCTCCAGGACTAGCATGAAACTCCTTTAGTAACTTAGGAATAAATTTGGAAAATTTGGGCAACCTGTTTATGTACAGCAGGCAGCCGCGGCGTAGCTGATAGTGAGGTCTGCAACTTGGGTCAAGGAGTAAGTCCTGGATAATGGTTTGCAACTTAGGATCAAGCTGGGATTCAGAGGTGAGATCTTCGTAGTCTGAGAATTGTACCATGGTAATAGCCTGATGAACCAACTCTTCTTCCCTGCGAGACAATGCATCAGCCACCTTATTAGAGTGCCCTGGATAGTACTGAATCTCAAAGGTAAATCCCATGAGTTTGGATAGCCATTTTTGCTGCTCTGGTATCTTCATTCGCTGGTCCAGAAGAAACTAAAGGCTCCTCTGGTCAGTTTTAATTATGAACTTGTTTCCCAATAGATAGTGACTCCATTTGTGTACGGCGAAAACTATGGCCATGAGCTCCTGCTCGTAAACTGATTTTTGCTTGGCCTGAACCTTGCTCAAATATGCGATTGGTCTAGACTGTTGGACCAACACTGCCCCAAGACCTTGCCCCAATGCATCTGTTTGGATCTCAAAGGGAACAGCAAAATTAGGAGTGGCCAGAACCGGGACAGTAACCATGGCTTTCTTCAGTTGTTCAAAAGCCTTCTAGGCATTTTCATTCCAACAAAAAGAGTCCTTTGTTAGAAGCTGAGTTAAGGGTTGGGCGATGGTGCCATACCCTTGTACGAATCTCCTATAGTACCCGGTGAGTCCTAGAAATCCCCTTAAGCTTTTCACACTAGTTGGAACTGGCCAGGCCACCATGGCCTCGATCTTTTGAGGATCAGCCTCAACCCCTTTGTCCGACACTAAATGGCCTAAGTACTCCAATTTCGCCTGACCAAACAGACACTTTTTGCGATTAATAACCAGTTGATGTTCCTGCAGGATCTTAAAGGCCTGGGTAAGGTGAAGGATATGGGTGTTCAGGTCCGGACTGTAAATTAGGATGTCATCAAAGAAAACTAGTACAAATTTCCTGAGGAAGGGTTTGAAAATGGTGTTCATAAGTGCTTGGAAGGTGGATGGGGCGTTGGTAAGGCCAAAAGGCATAACTAGGAACTCGTAGTGGCCCTCATGTGTCCTAAAGGCTGTTTTGGGTATGTCCTTATCACTGACTCTAATTTGGTGATACCTCGACTTTAGGTCAAGTTTAGAAAAGGTGGTTGCTCCATTTAGTTCATCAAGCAGCTCATCAATGTTAGGGATGGGAAATTTGTCGGGTATGGTGATGGAATTTAGGGCTCTGTAGTTGACACAGAACCTCCAGCTACCATCTTTTTTCTATACTAATAATACGGGACTGGCGAAGGGGCTGGTATTGGGTTGAATTATTCCTGCCACTAACATTTCTCCTACCAGCTTCTCAATCTCATTCTTCTGGTAATACGGGTACCTATAGGGTCTAATGTTGGGAGGTTGAGATCCTTCCTTAAGTACTATAGCATGATCAGTCTCCCTTTTTGGAGGTAGCCCGGATGGTTGATCAAATAAGGCTGCAAATTCTTCCAACACAATAGCCACCCTGGGGTCCAAAGGTTCCTCCCTCGCGTTTGATTTATTTTCAATCGAACATAACTCAACCAAATAACCCATTCCTATTGTTTGTAACAACCTAAGCATGGCCTTGAGAGACACTACTGTCTTTACCAGAGAGGGGTCCCCTTGCAACATGACACGTTTTCCCTCAACCTCGAACGCCATGGTCAGATTCCTCTAGTTCGCTCACACATCACCCAGGGAACTCAACCATGATACTCCTAGCACCACATCAGCCCCACCGAAATCAAACGAAAAGTAATCCTGTACAACCTTCACCCCCTGTATCTGTATGTTTACGCTTCTACAGATCCCTTCTCCCCTCACGGTAACTCCGTTACCCACCATCACTTCGAACGCCTTCTTTCCTTCCACGGGGATCCCTAATTTTTGCACCAATTCGTGGGATATAAAGTTATGCGACGCTCCACTATCGACCAACACAATCACTGACTCCTTTCCCAAGTGACTTCGAATTTTTAGTGTCTTATCTGAGGTGATACCCACATGGAATTCATTGAGAGAGCCACGGGATTACCTTCTAGAATAGGTTCTTCTTTGCCGTCTAGTGTGGGGTCTCCATCGTCAGGTTCATCATCTTCCCATGCAAGCAAAATCTGTAGGGCCTTACTTTTGCAACGATGATTAGGTCCGAACTTCTCATCGCACCTAAAACACAGTCCTCTCTCTCTTTTTACTTGGATTTCGGCCTTCGTCAGCCGTTGGAAATGGTCCCCTCGAAACCCCACCGTCGGAGATTCCGTTGATCTTTCTCGTCGGTCAAAACTGTGACTGGGTGTGTGTTGCCCCAAATCGCGATGGAAAGAGTGGTGCGTCAGATCTGAATTTCGATTCAGATTTGTTCCCCACGCGGGTCGAAAATTTTTTTGGGTTTGGGCCTCTAGACTTGGGCTGACCCGAGAGCAACTCTCCCCCTTTAAGCCTTGACTTTTGCTAATTTTTCCCCGGGCCCTCTCTAAAACCCAGTTCTTTTCCTCCACTCTATGGGTCAGATCAATTACCTCATTCAATTTGTTGGGCTTACTTAGGCGTAGCTCTGCCTTGATTTCCTCCTTCAATCCATTGATAAAACTGCTCACCAACACTTCTTCTCCTACCTCCGTCAGTGGAGCTTAGTAAGCTTCAAATTGTTCCCTATACTCCGTCACGGTTCCCTCTTGCTTTAATGCAATCAAGGCCTCACAGGCAGATCCCTTAAACGATGGTCGGAAACGTTCAATCAAGGCAGATTTGAAATCTGTCCAATTTTTCACTGGCATCCGGATGTCCATCCACTGGTACCAATTCAAGGCCCGTCCCTCCATACAAACGGCAGCAACCTCCACTTTCTCCTCCTCAGCATATCTGTTAATGGCAAAATATCTATCAGCCCTAAATGTCCATCCATATGGGTCTTCTCCATTAAAGAAGGGTAAGTCCATCTTTTTAATCTTCTTATCTTTTTTGTCATTTTCCCCGTCAGTGATTTTGTCACCTTCTCCATCAGATTTTTCCACTTCCGTCATCTTACTCTTCCCACTACTATGACTAGCTTCTTTTTCATCCTTGATTCTCATCCACTCCCTGAGCTCCAGTAGGTAGTCTTTGAGATTACCCATGTCTTCCTTCAAACTCATCAGATCTCCTCTCATCGTTCCCATTTCCTTCTCCATTCCTTCCATTCTATTTTCCATTTTCGTTTTAACCATTCCCCAACGAAACTGGCTCTGATACCAATTTGATGCAAACCTCAATCTCCAACAATTCACAACACAAATAAACCACAATCCAATGATCTCAAACACAGAATTCAGATAAAGAAACTGGAAAATAAGTATTTGTATTAATTCACTCTCGGTGGTACAATATCAGTAATGCAAAAGAAACAAAATAAAGAACGTAATGACAGACAGAGTTGCTAACAATTCGAGGAGTTAGCGGCCTCCCTCAGGATTCCCTTTCAACAAAATATGTTCTCCCTTTTTGAGCAGACCTCCCCTCTTTATATACACGTGAGATTTTCCCAAGGTAACCAACCCCACAAGACACGTGTACTTATTCCTAACTAATTCCCCTGGCCTTTGGTCACACTCTTCTCATGCCTTCGAGTCATGCTCTTCTCCCTTCTCCTTTGCCTCTGATAGCTTTTAGTAAGAGGTGGCCTATCAGTTTCATGCTCAGCATGCACTTTATGTGATGGGTTCAATTGATTGCGCATGAAGAGGCAATGGTGCCTCTTTTCCATCGAGTCAAGAAACTCCTCATAATCACGGCAATTAATTTTGGATCATAGATAGGAATGGGCAGAGTCAGGTTATGTTAACGTACCATGAATCATGCAGAAGTTTAGTTCTGTAAAGTGAGACTAAAGACTATCTCTGACTGATGGAAAAGCGCGGTAGATTGGTTGTGGCTTTCCTCTTAGAAAATATAACAGTTGAAATATTGTTTTTGTTACAATCAGTTAGTTCTCTATAAAATATTATAAGAGAAACTTTGTTTGAGGACACTTACATTTTATGTGCATAGATCCCAAGTTCCTCCCTGAGTCGAGGTGTCATTTGAAGTGTGTCGGTTACAGGAATTTCCTATGGCCTGAGCGTGGCTTCATTTGTGCAAAATATGATCTTTTTTTTTTTTTTTTTAAAAATAATTTTTGGTTTCAGGTGAACCATTTGGTTCTGATATGTTTATATTTTTTAGCTACAGAACAGTCTGCTGCTCTTTTTGGTCTTTGTGGATTAACCTTATTTCTCTTCGTTTTCTCTTTTGTTGGTTTTCAGCTATAAGTCAGTGGTTTCAGCTTCAGAATATGGGAAGATGATATGTTTGCAAATGTTGATTATTGCCAGAAAAAATTCCTAAGGTATGGTTTACCTAACATGTTCATTTGTGAATTACTTCTTTCTTAAAAAAAAAAAAAAAAAAAAGGGAAAATGTTGAATTGGAAGGAGATGAAGAATTTATTTTCAACGAGGCAAAAGAAAAAATTAGCTGGAAGGAGGGAGAAGCGAGCAATATGGGAAAATTAAGATGACTAAATTTCACAGATTTTGCTAGAATGAAGTGCAATTATTTTATTTCCTGGTCAAACAAGAGATTTTTTTTATTATTATCTGAAAATAGATTATTAGATCAGTAAGGCAGTGCAAAATGGTTGGATCCGGCTCGACACACTTCATAGAGCTGCCATCAGTCTTGAGTATTTTGGTGATTGAGAATGAAATATAACTTTTTGTTGTTCTTGCAGATGAATTATCCTCTTCCCAGAAAGATGATTGCGTCTATCATTTATCATGTCGACGGCAAATTCGCCGTATACCTGCCTTCCACAGTACAAAACAACTTTTTGATTAATGCAGTACGAACTTAGAGATGGTAAATCTCTTTGTTAATGCATCTTTTGGTGTTAAATCTTTTGAGCTTGTTCAATATATTCGGCCCTCTAAATGTATCTTTGTTGATATTTATTACTTTATGTTCCTCAGTCTGTCTGGTGCAATCAATTACTTTTTTTTCTTTTTTTGTACTGGATTTTACATTATTTTGAATTGTTTAATTAAAACAGATGGATGATCAAATGATTTTCTGTCATTTAAAAATAAACTGAAATTTTCAATTTATCTAAACTATTGTGCTTCATGCTTGCTAATTAATCTTTAGAGTAAAAATATGTAAAAATAATCAATAATTTAAAAGGCAGTCTCACGTCCTCTAGGCCTCCAGCATGGCTCCACTTCTGTCTTTATATCATATTTAATATTAATATTCAAGTTTTTTAAATACAAAACTCGTTTATAACATTTGAATTATTTTTACATATGATTTTGCACAATCATTTTACTATAGATGATATAAAAATCATGATTTCTATTTTTATGGTTTCTTAGCTCTAAAAATTGTATAAAAAACTTCAATTATGATATAAATTTTTTTTATATCATAGTAACATTAATAATTATTTAAAAATTTCTGTAATAAACATAAATCGATTTTCTTATATCTTATAAATTATCTTTAATTTGCAACAGAACTACACAAAAGTAGAAATTAAAAAAAAAAAAAAAAAACTTTATACCTTAACAAAACATGAATTTATTATGTGAACTTGTATAAATCGTTAGATCGATCTTTAAAAAATAATCAAAGTGATCCAACGGTTTAAATTGAGTAACGCTGCCTCAATAGTGTATACAATTCTATTTCTGTATAACTATTACAAAAATGTTTTTAATTACTACTATAAATACTTGATGTAATCGTGTGAAAAACACTCTCCTGCAATTTCGAAATTCCCAAATTGTCCCTCTCTCGCACTAAAACCCCGACTCCATTTCTTCCACACCCAATCGTCTCTTTCCCTCTCTTAAAATTTTCTCACTTTCAGACCTCTTTCTTTCTCTTCGATTTACTCGATCGTACGGCCAGCCATGACTCTGATGACTCCTCCGCCGTTAGATGTAATTACCGAATCTCCCTCTATCTCTCACTCATTCATTCATCAATCAATCAGTCAATCAATCAATCATTCAATCAATCATGATTCATCGTCATCCGCTTTATTTGTTACTTCAATTCGATTTCACGAATTCCGTAAACCGAAGCCGTTTTTGGTTGCAGTAACTCTATCGATGTTCAACATCGTCTTAATTTGACCTCTGTTTGTTTTGCTTCTAGGTTTTGTATTAGTAGATCCGAGTTTTTTTTTTACATTGATTTTGTTTTAATTTTTAATTTTTGGTTTGTGTTTTGTTTAGCGTCAGGAGGACGATGAGATGTTGGTTCCACACACTGACTTCGCCGACGGTCCTCAGCCAATGGAAGGTTTATCACTTCAATTCCAATTGCTTTTATTTTTTCTGTTTGATTCCCGAGGAAATTCAGAGGAATATTGAAATCAAATTAGAATTGTCGGTTAAATAGCTGTTTTTGTTTTCATGCTTTATGTCAAAGGAAATTAGAGACATGGAACTTATGTGCTATTTTAGGTTTTGTTATTTACATCTTTTTTCTGGAGTGAATTGGTGTTTTTGGTTTGTTTGTAAGTTAAACAATTTCCCTTTTCACGATCAGTGTTGTTGTTTGGATTTGATTTTTGTTTCTCCTTTGTTTTTTCAGATTTTTAAGGGGACTGTAAAAAATAACTTTAAATTGTTATGTTACTGAATAATGGTTCTATTGGTAGGGTTTCTGTGGAATTCTTAGCTACTTATGGGGTCTATTTATTTATTTATTTAATTTTTTTTTAATATTTAATCATTAAGTGAATGGAGCGTTAGTGTGTTGATTTATTTTTCCTGGTTTTTATGTTACTAGCTCAAGCAGAAACAGCTAGTACAGTTGATGCCCAGGCAGTTGATGATCCACCATCTGCAAGGTTCACTTGGACAATTGAGAATTTCTCAAGACTTAATACAAAGAAGCTTTACTCTGATGTGTTCTATGTTGGAGGTTACAAATGGTATGCAAATCTCTCATCCTTTATTTCACTCATAATTTATATGGTCTTATGTGGTTAGCTTGTCATTCTTATTTTGGTTGATGACCACGATTTCTGTCTAATTGCGTTTCAGGCGAATTCTCATTTTTCCAAAGGGGAACAACGTGGATCATTTGTCAATGTATCTAGATGTTGCAGATTCAACAACTCTGCCATATGGGTGGAGTAGATATGCGCAATTCAGCTTAGCTGTTGTCAATCAGATTCATAGCAAATATTCAATTAGAAAAGGTACTTTCTTTCTCTATTACTACTATAACATAAAAAATCTCATTGTCTCCTTCATCAGGTAAAATGCCTTTGGTATTTGTTTTAGGATAAAGATGATGTCGCTGTTTTAGTGAAATTATTTCTTTTACTAGTTTGGAGATCTCTTTAGATAAAAGGACTGGTTTTTGTTAATCTGTCTCTTTTTATAGCATTTAGTTTTGTCAAATCGAGTAATGTTTGTCCATTTTTTTTCACTACGTTGTAATTTCTTTTCTGTCTTGCTTTCATTTGTAATGAAGGTAATATGCTTATTGGACAAGGATTATTGATCATTATCTAACGTACACATGTAGGGTAGAAAAAGTACTATGTGGAGAGTAGGAAAAGACATCAAGAAAACTTGATATAAAAGCTTTAGCTGATAGGGAAAGACCCAATAGTAATTTTAAGCTTTAACCTAGTCTAGGTGGTCAACCTATTTTTTGATATCATGTTATCATTTACCAAAAAGTTAAATTGATAAGGTCTTGACAATAGTGTTTTAACTCTTAACGTGGAGAAAAAAACAAGAGGAATTAGGTGGAGAAAACCAATTTTCCGTTATTGAATATCATTATCACAGTCATACCATGAACAAAGCGAAAGACTAAATTAGGAAAGCTAAATCGTCATTCTTAAACAAGTAAGAAATAGATTTAAATAGATAGTTTAATATGGCCTAAAATGAATACTAAACTTTAGATCCTAATAATCCATCTTTAGCCTAGTTCAGAAGAACTGGATTTTAGGCAAGTTGGGATGGAAAATTGCACCGAGAGTTTATCAGGGTGGTGTTGCGTGAATACCTTAAAATATAATGGTCATTCGTTTTTAGTTGCTTTGTTGGAAATAAAAAAGAAGATAGCCCGTAAATTCTTTTTGATATGAAGTTTGTAAAGCAACCAATCTTTAGTGTGCTACTCCTAGATCTTGTTTGGAGTTACTGTTGGAGAACTTTCTATTTTTGGGAAAGGAAAAAAGTCCAAGACTCTTAGGCAGTGTCTGGTTCTATTTGATTTTTTGTGAAAGATGTAAAAGGATTTTTGTAGACAGTAGGGGAGAAGAGATCAGTGATTTATGGGACAAAATAATGTTATTAGGATCTCTTTAAGCTTTTATTTTAAAAGATTTTTAACAGAGTTTTTTTTTTCTTTATCAATCTACATTGGTTAGGAGCATTTGTTTGGCTCTGGTTGTGTTCTTGCGGCTTCTCAGGCTGTAGTAATATTCATTTTTTTTGTTTTTTCTTTCTGCTTGAATTACACAGATTCATGATGGTTTTTGTAATCCCTTTGACCCTTATGTGGATGGGTTCTTTTTCTGTTGTGAATATGTGGTCCACTGTTTGTTTTTTTCATTACAATAGCATATATGTTTTTGTTTGTAAAAAGGAAAGTTCTTTACTTTTTCTCTAATGATATAATTGTGTTCAGCTACGGTTGCTTGGTACTTGGACATTCCCCTCTTAATTGTAGTGTATGCCATTGACTATGTATGATATAAAATATATGTTGCTGATGATTCCGATGCTTACTGTTGCAGACACACAGCATCAGTTTAATGCACGTGAAAGTGACTGGGGTTTTACTTCATTTATGCCTCTTGGTGAATTGTATGACCCCAGTAGAGGTTATCTTGTGAATGACACATGCGTAGTTGAAGCTGATGTTGCGGTTCGAAGAGTTGTTGATTATTGGTCGCATGACTCCAAAAAGGAGACTGGTTATGTTGGGCTTAAGAACCAAGGAGCTACTTGCTACATGAACTCTCTCCTTCAAACACTGTATCATATTCCTTACTTTAGAAAGGTTTGTCAATTTGCTCTTTATAACTTATCATATTGATATGATTATCAAGGAAGCACAATATCTTGTTTATTATTGCAGGCTGTGTATCATATGCCAACAACTGAAAATGATATGCCATCAGGAAGCATTCCTCTGGCTTTGCAGAGTTTGTTTTATAAGCTCCAGTACAGCGATACAAGTGTAGCAACAAAAGAGTTGACCAAATCTTTTGGATGGGATACATATGACTCTTTCATGCAACATGATGTTCAAGAACTTAATAGGGTTCTTTGTGAGAAACTTGAAGATAAAATGAAGGTATTGAGCTTTATGGTTATGGACTTATACTGTTTCTGTTGGCTTCTAATAATGTT